ACTATTGAAATGATTCTGGATAAGGTTTCGAAAAAAATAAATTAATCTTAAAAAAAAAGAACAAATATAGTTAAAAAAAAGAGTATAAATTAGTAAATGCACAACACACATATATAGTATGCATATTTGTGTATGTGTATATCTATCTCTTAAGAGTTCTGCTGAAAAATGACACATCAGAAGGCTATATCTGTTACTCACAAACTTTGGTAAAGGCTATAATTGACTTTTCCTTTTGATTTCTGTCAAATAGAGTATTAAAACACAGACAGTATTAATTCTAACTTTTAACATTAACTACATATGCCTTTTTTTAACTGAAGACATGAAAGTAGTTTTGAAATTGGTAAATTTTACATAATCCCAGAAAAGCTCTGCATGGAAAATTTTGTACTCATTATTGCAGTTAGATGTAAGAAGTCTGTGGAAATAACAGTTTAAGCGTGGGTGTGCGTGTGTGAGAAAAGGCTCTGTGTAGAATATATATATGCATGTGTGTTACATATGCAACATAGGAAGCAATGGAGCCTATATATTCAGAGTTGTAAAGAGAAATTTTCATTTAACATTCATGCTGTAAGTTACTTTATTAACAAAAGCCAGGGAGAATTATAAAACTCTTCTTACTACCATTTGTGAGACTATCTATAGAAGGTAAGCATATTTTTGTGTTTAGTACACTTGGGAAAGTGTTATTTTAAATTTCCACAAGTAACAGGAATAGGGATATTTAGAGTTAGAGAAAATCCAAAGAAAAAAATTACTGACCAAAGTCTGCACTTTGAATTCTTAATCACTTAAGGCAAAAATATAGAATTTTTGATATGGTTCCAAATGATCTATACTTACTGGATTAATATTGACTAATAAAAAATCCAAAAAATGATTAGCAAAAACACAACAAAACAGTCAAGACATTTTCTAACCATTCTTGGTTAGACATGAAAGGTTTTTATTTAAATCTTAGTAAAGAATCATATCCCAGTTTCGAGTATTCAAATATTCATAGAGCTGATTTGCCCCTTCTAGTCCTGAAAAGTCTGAAAAAATATTATCTTCTTCATCATGTAGTCATCCCTCTTTGGTTTTGCTTTCTGACTCCTTAATCTACTCACTATTGCTATTGACTCAATCACTATAATGTGGATCTCATCTAGCTGATTCTTTGTTTTATGACTTGGGCACAAAACCTTCTGCTTTTAGTTAGACTACCTTCTTGTTTCCAGTCTCTTTTCCATTGTACTTACTGATTTCACTTTCTTTAAATGTAAATTTCTGGTTACATCTCGTTCTTGGTCAAAAAATTTTATTGTGTGGTGCCAACCTACTTTTTTTTCCAACCTACTTTTTAATGTTTTTTTTTTTTTTCCTCCCACTTCTCAAACTACAGAAAAACTAATTTTGGGGGGTGGGGGGGTTCTCTCATCCAGTTAAAATCACTGATTTGATATTTTATCTGCCGTAAATTGTAAGTTAAAATGTATTAATGTAAAAGTAGGAATTAACAAGTAAAAAATGATCAATGATTTTAAAAGGCAGGTAAGCCATAAAAAATAGATTCTCAGGTGCCCTCCCTGGTGGCGCAACGGGTTAAAGCACAGAACAAAGAGGCTTAAGGCACTTCCACATGAGTTTGATCCCAGCCTGCCCCGGAGGAGATCCACCTGGCAAGGCAGATCCCCTCCTGGCCTTCCCGCTGCTCCCCTCAGCAGTGTACTTTGTCCATCTGCCTGTTCTGTACCCCACTCTATCTCTGGTGAATCCTCTCACCCTCCGCATGTCTGGCCTGTACCCCAGTTCTGTACGAATAAATAAGCAAATCTTTAAAATAAAAAAAAAAAAGATTCTCAGAAAGATATTATTTTAAGTGTGATTTTCATTAACAGAAAAACAGTGGGGGTTAAGTTTACATGCAGATAAAGTCAAATGTATAAAATTACCAACTACAATTAGACTACTTGAAATAATGAGGAAATATAATTGCATTCTTAAAAACAGGTTAAGTTAATGTTTTGAACCTATTGGTTCTAATGTGTTTCTGCTAACAGTAACAGAAAATATTTTATTTTTGTGTAATTTCATGTAGCAGCACAGCCTTTTATTTTGTGGTGAGTATTTTTTTATCAATGTAAATTTTTACTGAATGAATGCCGAGAAAAATTTTCTTTACTAGAAAGCATTTCTGTGGCATAGTACTTAAAAGATAAAATAAAGGACCAGGCTCATTCCTATGATCTCAGATTTCTAGTACATACAGCACCCTAAACAGAGGGAGGATGTAAAAGAGAACTTTCTTAAACATGTATCCTTAAAGTATTTTAATAATCAAATATCAATACTGAACTAATTAGTATTTTTATAGAATGTGCTCACAGTTTTTACACAGCTTGAAAATCATTTAACTTCAGGTACACAGAGTTGTATGTCATGAATGGAAAAAGATGCTGCTTGGAACAACATATTTACACTTTCATCACACATCACACACTCCTATGAGCATAACTTAGACTGAAAAACTTGGTGGATAAAAAGAAAACCTTCCTAAAATTCAGGACAAATATAATTGCTGAAACTGAGAGAGAAGAGAAGTATGTTAAAAAAAAGATGTTTTCTATTTTATAGATTTTTCTCTTGGGTGTAATTATAAAGTGACATTCAAGTGCAACCAATGAAGTCTGTATTTTTTTTCTCAATTTCTCACAAAATTCAAAGACATCAGCAAAACCACCTATGTCAGTAATAAAAGTAAAAAGTCTGTGACTTTTTAAATGTTATCATACTGTCACAGTGGAATAAAATTAGCTTGAAAAATGATCTAAAGGCACATGATGTCGTTCATTATGTATAACAGCAATAGCAGTGGCTTCCCAGTGTTCATAAAGGCTGCTCCATTAAATTTACCTCCAGTCAATAATTAGGAGTCCACAAATAAACCTGGGCAATTAAATCAATACTGCTAGGCAATTATATTCCAGAGTCCAGGCTCTGTGGCACAAAAAGGCCCTATATCAAACTGCATTTTCAACAGGATTATTTTATATACTAACTGGACAGAATAAGCATACATACAGATAATGCAGAATGTGTAGATATACACATGCACACATATATGTATGTGTATACACACACGTATATACATATGTGTTAGGGAAAAAACCAGGTCCAGTGTCTGTACAGTTTCGGGAAAATTTGGTATTTATGCATATGGATCTTTTTTTGGCCACAATTAGTAACATTATTTATTAAAAGGTTATATTTACTAGTTGAACATTTTAAAAGTCAATTGAAAAGTTTTTTTTTTTTTTTATAATTTTTAAGCTGAAAAATGTACTCCAAACAATGATTCCTAGGGTAAGCACTAGAAAAACAGCATGATTAAGAAACGGTCTTTCTTTTCAAAGACAAATCATTACTACAGAGGACAGAGGCTCTGTCCAACATTTAAGCTAATAAAGGTCAATCACTTATGACTATTGAAATGATTCTGGATAAGGTTTCGAAAATATCTAAAACTGCTTGATATTAAGAATATGAGTAGTTCATATGTTACTTCCTTATTCTCAACTTCCCCAAAAGTATAGACGCTGCTACTTGCTAATATGAACACAAAATAACTGCTACTCATATCAGAAACATGTACAAAGACCCTCCAAAACTCACAGGACAGTAGTAATTATCATTTGCTATTTTGAGAAGTATGTTTTTAAGTTGTTTTCAACCCCAGTTCATTTTTAAAACAGATAATTAGGTTGAGCAAAAAGAACTGTAATGCAAAAGTTTTAGAATGCATTACATGCTGTCAGTGATGTCAAAACAAAAGCTGGCTATGACTAGAAAAGCAGGGCTCTCACCTGCCAATAAACTGCCCTTGATCACTTACAAGAGGGGCACATCCCAGCAGACTGCATGTGTATTAAAAAAACACTTGAAAGGGAAGAAAAAGTCTCACCCAGGTCACAGCAGCAGTCTCAATAGACCCCTCAGGGGTTTCAACTCGTCTTGGCCTTGTCATCCTCTATGCAGCTTTCCACTCGGCCCAGAAAATGTCGATAGGAAAATGTTTGAGGGGCCTCTGGTGGAAATTTTTTCATTCTTTCTGCATTGACAGGATGCCAAATCAATATTTACTTCCCACTAACAAGCAGCTCGAGGTCTCAGTAGAAAATATTGTAGAGAATGCGGGAAGACACAGTAATAAACAGCTGTCTGGCTGTGAGGAAAACATGAATTGACTGGAAACAGGTCCATAGTAAAAGGTCACTGAAACCCATGAACTCCTCAGGTGTCCGTATCAACAACTAACTTTAAAGACACATAATAAAGAATCTCTTTTCCTGAGAGGGCTGAGAGAATGGATCCTTCTCAGACTAGCAAGCATAGAGGCTGACTCAATAATTTAATTAATGCATTTGCTAAGACCCATGTTGGCTCTTTCCCAAGGCATTTGTTTCATTTGTTAAGTCCAAAAGTACAAATAGAGGGTTAACTTTCCTCTCTACCTACTGGAATACTTCTTTACCCCACAGAAGTAAATAAGGTCTAAGTGTTTACAAAAGTTAGAAATATGGTAAAAATAGAAGGCTTGGAGTTATCATTTAGAAGTTTTCTATGAGGAATAGAAAAATGAAATACCTGTCCCTCAAGAAGTTTCTGGATGTATAACAGCCATTCCTGGTCATGTTCAGCTTCTGTCTTTGTCCTTTCCATCTCCTAAAGGAAGAAAATACAAATACTGGTGTAAATAGCATTTATATAATATTGATCAGTTATTAGATACTGAACAAAGTTAGAGATATATTGGTAGAAATGGCAGCATGCCCTCAAAGTAGAGACTATTTAAATTCAAGCTTTTAAATATTTAATTCATGACTATTTACATATATGTGGAAGACAAAGCCACATTTTCATACTTCCCAATATAATTTGGGAGTATTTTATCACTGCTTTGATAGTGAAACTCAAGGTAAGACTGAAGTAGAGGTGAACATGACTAAAATAAGGAGAAAATTAAGCTGGTGTTCTATAAAAAATTATCTGTAAGTGACCCTTGGAAGATAACAAAGAATACAGAAAAAAATCTGATTTGCTAATTGATAGCCAAGGAGTAATTACTGTAAACAGTGTTTTTAGGCAAGGCCCAGGTGTATTTAAGTGTATATCTATTTAAAATATTCAAAGGTTTATTCTTAGGTAAGGGACATTCCAACTTAGTGTTTGGGTCACTAAATTATCTTTATTTCATTAACTAGCAAGGTAAGATATTTCTGAAATCACAGTGTATTCACATGTACAACTGGTTATTCAGTTAAAACCAAGATTCAGTTTATAAGAAAATTTTGTTTAAAGAGGGAAAGTTTAGGAAATGCTTGTTGAAATTTCCTACCTGCCGGGTATCAGGCTAGGAACAGATATAAGGGTCAGTCTAAGTAAGCTCGGGTCTACAATTACACTTGGTAATAGTTAAGGTGCACTGACCCTTCTGAGGAAGTGCTTTACTACTTCCATCCTTTCACTTCTGGGTTCTGGGAACCCCACTGGAGGTTGTGTGATATGCACACTGCAGTGCTGGTGCTCTGCCTCCAGGCTGATCTACAAAATGCTAGGGTGCACACAGATGTGCCACCTCCTCTGGAATAGAGACATCCTTTTCTAATTCATATGTGCAAAGGGGGCTGCTATTCCTAATTTGTCCATTCAGAAGAAGTGTTTTTTTCCTATCTGCAAGCCTACAGAGGATATGTTTGAGACTGCACAAGACGGTGGCTCCATTTTCCAGAATACGTATCTGTACTAGTGCACATACATGCACACACACGGGATTTTGCTAATTTTTTCCTCTTTTTTTTTTTAGTACTTTACTCTTTTATGTAACAGCCAAAATTTTCTCACTTTTTCATTAGAGACATCCTATCTCTTTTCTCACTCAGTTCATATAATCTTCTTCCTATAGCTTTCCTTTCTTATACTTTACTGTAACTTTAGATGTGAATAGCCAATGCTATAACATCAAGTTCATATTTTTTTAGTAATTAATTCATTAATTTTTTATTTAGGTTGTTTTATTTCTTCGTTGTTGATATTATGGAAGTATAACATCCTCTTCTTGAGGTATAGTTACCTATAGTACTCCAAAGTATCCACGATCCACCATAGTCCGCAGTGCTTCTTCCCCACTTTGTTCTCACCCCATAAGCCTCACTCTTCAAGTGTTAATTTTTAGGTTCATCTTTAGCAGACCTTTTTTTTTTTTTTTTTTTTTTTTTTTTTTCCCCCCTTTTTTTTTTTTTTTTTTGGTTTCTCTATCCACACTATTGATTTTTTTTTTTTTTGAAGATTTATTTATTTGTGCATACAGAACTGGGGTCTGGGGTACAGGCCAGAGGTGCAGGAGTAGTGAGAGAATTCACCAGAAGACAGAGTAGGGAACAGAATAGGCAGACTGTCGAAGTACACTGCAGTGGGCGGGTCAGGAGAGGTCTGCAGGGCCATGTGGTCACCTCCGGGGCAGGCAGGGATCAAACTCATGCAGAAGTGGCTTTAGCTTCTTAGTGTAGTGCTTTAACCCACTGCGCCACTAGGGAGGGCCAAGGACACTATTGGTTTTTAAAAAAACTTAGGTTAAGAGTAACTTCTAGGTTAAAAAAACCAAACTTTTGGTATCTAGGCATCAACCTTAACTTTTGTTGTTTCTCATTACAAATTAACAAATTTCAGTTAGATGTCCATAGTTAGGTATAACTCTTGCCAGAGATACTATTACTTCCTGTGAGCATAAAATATGATACTCTATTTGGAAATATTCCTGCAATTCAAAAGTCAAATTTCCCTAGAAAGTGAAACATTGTGGCATGGTTGCTGAACACTGGAAACTGAAAATTCACTATAACTGTCCCATAGGATGAAAATGATCTCTATAGAATTCCTTTAACCTCTTTTCTAAGAATTATTAGCCATTTCAAAACTTTGTAGTTTTGCTCTACTCTTGAAGTTCTTTGAGAAGCTAATAAGGGCTAGAGGATATTCTTTTTACTTTTTATTTTTTTATTTTTTTAAAGATTTATTTATTTATGCATACAGAACTGGGGTACAGGGCAGAGATGCAGGGCCAGTGAGAGGCTTCACCAGAGACAGAATGGAGGAGCAGAACAGGCAGATCAATGAAGTACACTGCTGAGGGGAGCAGCGGGTGGGTCAGGAGAGGTCTGCCACGCCATGTGGTCTCCTCCGGGGCAGGCGGGAATCGAACTCATGAAGAAGTGGCTTTAGCTTCTCAGTGCTGCACTTTAACCCGCTGCACCACCAGGGAGGGCCTAGAGGATATTCTTATACAAACATTTAAGTCTCTGAAGTTATTGATGCACTGAGCAAATACTTACTGGAAGCTAATATCACCTTTGTCTTTCCAAATGATAAATTCTATTTTCAAGTATTAAAGTTCTAATATTCATGTATTGAAGTTCAGAGACTTAATAGAACATGATTGAGAATATGCCACAGGTTTCACAGAAGACTATACAGTAAGATTCTGATGTTTATATGAGTCAGTAACTTTGTCAAAAATAACTGCCTTTCTCAAAGGGTACTTAAATGCAACAAAGAGCTCAATGCATATAAATAAGAGTATTTTAACCAATTTAAAGTCATGAATATATTTTAAATTTTATTAACAATAACTGTGAATTTATCTAGGAAAGCCAATGGATTTACTATTGAAACTTGTTACATAGGAGAAAATAATCCTCAAATCAAAGATGACCCAACTTAACCAAATCCATTCACTCAATCACACTCACTTAAAAAAATATCAGTTTATAAAATATATGACTATGTTAAAGAAAATGCAGGAGGCAGGAAAACAGCTGACTTGAATAAAAAGCAGTTCTAAAGGGTATATGTTTTGGCTTATTTCTGTATTTCATACTTACATTTCTCTTGTGGTTTTGTGAGTTTAGTTCATGTATCTTGCACTGACACATGAATAATCTCACCTTCATTAAGATTATTTTAAAGATGAAATTCTAAGAATTGGAAAAACAAATACCTATGGTTAAACTCAATGTATAAAAAGCCATTTATTGATAAATATTTTAAATGATCTTACCACTTCATCTTCTGTGTCCAGTATTTCCTCTAAATCTGAACGTGAAATGTTAAGGATAGAAGCTGCCAACGTCTGGGCTTTATGGGTTGAAGTTTTATTAGCCTTCTGGTTTTTCTGCATTTTTTTCAGTTCTCTAATATGTCGCCTCATCTGATGGACATCATTTTGTAATTCTTTGACCAAAGCCTGCAACACATTGGAAAGAATGTGGGCTCACATGAAAGTCATAAGTGAAGATAAGGTACTTATAACTTAAAGATGTAAAGATACTAGCAAAGACTTTTTATTATCTTTACTCTGATTTTATTTGGAGCATAATAGATTGCTTTTTACTTATTGTCAGTATGCAAAATGAGTTCTCTTAAATGACCAATTAACCAACTTGCTGGATTAACCAAAACTCTTCAATTTCTCTTTAACATTCACTAACTGATACGTATGTACATTTCACTTAGGTTTTCAAATTTATTTGCAGGACGTGATCTAAATATACAAATATTTATGTATATTGTATGTAGGTATGTCTGTACACATATATATTTGTATATTTAATTCATAATATAGTATTTTCATCTGCTCTGTGCAACTTAATCTGCGCTAAAACTTTTTCTTGCATTTGCTTTTCCTGTTTTCTTCATTTCTAGTGTATTTGTACAGACACTATGATAGTTCCTTTTTCAGGACTCAGTTATGAAGATGAGTTTTTCCTGAGATCACTAAACCCCTCCCCTATGAAAAATATTATCTTTTTTAGAATCATATTAATTTTTATTTGGATTATGTACTATTATAGGATATTGAATCTTCCTACTCAGAAAGGCCATGGTATTCCCTTTTAGTTGTTTAAGACTTTACAAGGATTATTTTTAAGTATTACCTTTAAACATCTAGAATTTATTCCTATGCATTTTACTTTGTTGTTGGTTGCCTTTAATACTCATTATAGCTTGTATATGTAAAGATTGTAGATACATAACTAGCTTGCTGAAGTTTCTTATAGGAGTTTTTCAGCTATTTCCTCAATAATTTCTAGAAATCCAATCCCTATCTGTAAACATTATTTCCACTATACTTTTCCAGTTTTTATACTTCACTTTCTTAAACTATACTTCAGTCTCTTGTTATTACATTCTTCCTGAACAATACTAAATAATATTAATGGACATACTTGACTTATTCCTGATTATAATAGGAGTCTTACTTCCCAGGAAATACTTTGCTAATTTCAGAATATATTTTCACATATAAAGAAATATATTTTCATATATCAATGCATGACAGTTTGATATATTTTACCATAATCTCATTTTATTTGTATGTCCTTCAAAAATGGATACCAAATGATCTTAAATCCACCCTAACGAAGAAATTGCCTCATTGCTCATCAAAATACAGTATCATTTCTACATTCAATTCAAATGTGTGCAAGGATATTTTTCAAAGAATCCTGTCAATTTTGGACTTTATGAACCATTAAAGATCTTTTATGATTTTTTGGACTGATACCCAGTTGAAAGAAATTGTTTAATTTTTACTTATTTTTCATTTCCTGCATTCCCATGAGACTGTGCATCTGTTGGTCTTTGTGTTGTTCTTTGGTTAATTACTTTTATTTGTTCTTACTTCTATTAAGCTATTCATCTTTTATTCACTGATCTGCAGGAATTCTTTATGTATCTTAGATACTATTTTGTTTGTTATATACAAGTACATATTCTCTCACACTATCACTAGTATTTCAACTTAGTATACAGTATCTTTCCCCTACAATTTGGTGTATTTTATATAATTAGGATTTTTGTTATAGCCTTTATTGATTTTAAGCTTTATGTTTTGATTATGGAGATTCCCCCATTTCAAAATAATAAAAATTTGTGCAATACTTGACCAATTTCTTTTTTTTTACTCTTGGATTTCATATCAATGCATAAAATGCGTGTGTTATATGAGGTATATATAAGGCTAACATTTTTATTTTTTGAAATGAGAGTTACTTCTGCAGTGCTATTGACTACTAGACCCTGAAAATGACTTGAAATGCAAAATCAAATTTTATGTTCTAAATTCTCAGACATATTAAGTCTATTTTCAGAACTTCCTATTCTGTCCCAATGCTCTATGTATTCACTCCTGCATCAATTCTGATGTTTCATTTATTACAGCTTTATAGTATGTTTTGATGCATGTGAGAGAAAATGTTCTCTCTCTATTCATTCTTCTTTTCTGGCATCTCCATTTCTTTTCTCTTTTAGTTTCCTTCCTTTCCACTTGCTTCCTTCCTTCTGAATCATTTTGTCAGTATTTGAGACTGCACTGGCAGTTAGATTAACTTAGGAATGAGCTCACCTTTACAAATAAATTCTACCTTTATCTATCTAGCTTTGGTGTTCCACAGTCTACTTTTTAGTCATCTTGCATTTTTTGAAAGGTTTATTTCTGGTATTTAATAATTATTTTATTATGTAAGTAGAAATTTTAAGAGTTTTCAAATCTTGGTATGCTTTTCCATAATTACATATTTTCTTGTTTATTTATATTTCCTAGTCTGTAGAGTAAGCATTGATGGTACCATTGTAAGGGGCACTTCTGTATCATACCTAAGTTTAGTGGAAATTCTTTTAATGTTGTCCAAGAAAATGATGTTTAATGTAAGCCTCTGAAAGGTATATTTTATCGTACATGTCGTATAAGACAAAGGTGGTTTGTTGCTGCTTCCATGACCACGTAAATTAACAGCCAAATAAGACAGAACAGGTATTCCAAAGTTATGTAACAACTCCATATGCTGGGAACCTAGTTTCCCTTCTGTGATTTTAGTCTGCCATTCTGATAATGTTGCTCTTTTCCTTATGAGTCTAAGGTATCTTTTCATCATATCTATCTTCTTGCAAATAATGAAGAGGAAAAGGAGCCTTTAAAGGTACTATGTGAATAACATATCATTACCAATCAACCTCACTAACTAGAATTTAGTGATTTCATAATAATATGCTTCAAAAAGTAAATAAAACAAAAAATTTAGAAATGTGGGAAAGTTGCTGGAAAAGCAAATACTTGATTAAATATTCAATTAACATAAACAGAGGTGAAATGGAGTTTAAAGCCAACTAGTAGTCCCTGCAACATCAAGTTTATTGGAAGTGATTTTTGTATGTCAGGATTAGATTTGAAACCTATCATACGTGCTCTCCGCATCTAGTGAGCTGTTCAAAAGATTTTCTCCCTCCAATTGCCAACGTTGCATTACAAATAGAACAGATTTTCAGTGTTTAGCAAGTTTTATGTTATTAGAATAAGATTTGTGTTTGATAATGTATGATTCTTTAAGCACGGTGGCAAAGTTGATTTGTTCACATCTAACATAGGAATTCTGCTTCTATCTTCATGAGTAAGATTCATCTATGCATTTTTTTCCCTTTCAAGCTGTTCTATGAAATGTTGGTTTCTGGGCTATTGTAATTTCATTAAAAACTTCCTGTATTGGCCCTCCCTGGTGGCGCAGCAGGTTAAAGCACTGCACTGAGAAGCTAAAGCCACTTCCCCATGAGTTCAATTCCTGCCTGCCCTGGAGGTGACCACATGGTGTGGCAGACCTCTCCTGACCCACCCGCTGCTCCCCTCAGCAGTGTACTTCGTTGATCTGCCTGTTCTGTTCCCCACTCTGTCTCTGGTGAAGCCTCTCACCACCTCTGAGCCTCTGCCCTGTACCCCAGTTCTGAATGTACAAATAAATAAATCTTAAAAAAAAAAAACTTCCTATATTAAAAAAAAAAACACTTTAAAATAGATTACATAATATTTGAATTACTCATCCCTTGAAAAATTACAGAACTCACTGGTAAAATTATGTGACTGCTTTTTTTAATAATCAAAAAAATTTATACATACAAAAATTTAGAGAAAAATACAACAAACATTCCTAATTCTACCATGTAATTCTAACAAATCCAAAGGATTTTTTTTCTTTTGTTTAAAATGTACTTAACAAAAAAAAACATTCTGGGCCTTCCCTGGTGGTGCAACAGGTTAAAGCAAGCACCATGAAGCTCTCCATAGACGCTTCACTACAAGTTCGATCCCTGACCCCAGAGGTGACCCACATGGCACTGCAGAACTCTCCTGATCTGCCTGCTGCTTCCCTTAACAGTGCCCTTCGTTGATCTGCATGTTGTGTTGCCTGTTCTTCCTCTGGTGAGTCCTCTCACCACTCTTGCACCTCTGGCCTGTACCCCAGTTCTGTATACATAAATAAATAAATCTTAAAAAAAAACGCATTCTGAACAGTTTAAGATCTTATGTTTGCATCATTATATTATAGATATCTTTTTCATATATATTATATGTGTGTGTGTGTGTGTGTGTGTGTGTAGTTTGGGTTTACTAATCATTTATTTCACTAAATACAAATTTATTATATATATTCTATGAAAAACTCCTGTTATGGCATAGCATATAATTATACACATGGTTTCCACTGAAATTGGTAAATTATTATTATGACAATCTCCATTATCCTTAGTTCAATTTGAAAATCCAAAAGATGTCATTAGGTGATGGAGTAGGAGAACCAAGGCCCTCAGTGCCCCCATTAAAGGGTAACATTTACCTATCTCTGAACAAAAGTACTGCTGATAGAGGTCAAAAAGTCCATTTGAGAAATTTCAGCTACATAGTGGAACACTTAAGAATATCTGCACACAAATGAAAGGAAGGAAAACTATTGTGAATGCATTATTCCATCCTCCAGGCCTGCACTCCTATTCAACAGTACTAAAAGTCTTTCAAATGAGAAAGCAAAATTATCTCTTTTTATGACACAAATATGTATGTGTTGTGTGTGTGTGTGAGAGAGAGAGAGAGAGAGAGAGAAAGAGAAAGAGAGAGAATAAAGATTTGTATTAAGGCCCCTCCCCAATAGTGAAGTGTGTTAAAACTCAGCACTATGAAGTTAGCTGCAGCTGCTTCAGTGCTAGTCCCATTCCGGGTTAGGGAGGTAAATGACATGGCACAACAGACTCTCCTGCCTTGCCCACTGCTCCCCTCAGCAGTGTATTTTAATAAATGTGCCTGTTCTGCTCCTGGCTCTGTCTCTGGTGAATCCTCTTACCACCTCTGCACTTCTGGCCGTACTGCAGTTATGTACGAATAAGTAAATAAATCTTAAAAAAAAATATTTTATTAAAAAC